GTATATGTACCACATCTTCTTGATCCAGTCATCTATTTTTGGGCATTTGGGTTGTTTCCATAGCTTAGCTATTGTAAACAGTGCTGCTATAAACATAGGGGTGCAGGTGCTCTTTGGAATTAATGTTTCTGGGGCCTTTGGGTAAATACCTAGGAGTGGAATTGCTGGATCATATGGAAGCTCTATGTTTAGTAGGTCAAGAAATCTCCACACAGCTCTCCATAGTGGTTGGACCAGTTTGCACTCCCACCAGCAGTGCAGGAGAGTTCCTTTTTCTCCACATCCTCACCAACATTTGTTGTTGCTAGTTTTTTTAAAAGGGATCATGGTCAGTGAAACAAGCCAGAAAGAAAAAAGAAAAATACTGGATGGTCTCACTCGTAGTAGTAATTTAGATACCTAAATAAGGGACCAGGGAAAAAACTAATTATAATAAAGTGAAAATCAAAATCAACAAGCAACTATAAACCAGAGACACTCTATGGGCGGGGGGAATTGTATGGAGACTATAACCAAGATGAAAATGCATACATTGTGCAAAAGTGAAAAATGATATAAAAAAACATAAAATTTAAAAATTAAAAAAAAAGTTGGACAAGAATCCAATTTTTGGGTTCTTCTTGTAGCACACTCAACCTGAGAAACTCCCCATCATGCTTGTCTCTGCTCCTCTGTGTTGACAACATCCTTAGAAGTATCCTCACCATGTGACATCACCAGGACCCAGCAGCCTCAGGCATGTGTGGTCTCCTGATATGTTTCTATCATAACACTTCAGCAGTTCTTAAGGTAGGTTCTCATTGACCAGTCTGAATCATGTGCCAATGTGCTGGTGTGCGGTGGGACCATATCATCAACAGTTACACAAAAAGAGAGACCATACCTGCTAACAAGATGGGGCTGAGCTTTCTAGCAGGAAATCAGTCATGGAGCCACAGAGATTGATCAAATGATCTGAGGCTGCTTAGAGCACTTGCTGGCCTGTAAGTCATCACATAGAGAGAGTGGGTATTCACACATCCTACAGATTGCAATTAGGAAAACTGTCAGCATGGTTTGACAATGTTCTGTGAGCATGGGGTCAGGGAGGTCTGAGAGAGGCACAAGAGAGCTGAAACCATGGAATATAAGTTTCCCTGTTGCCACCCAGGTTTGGGCAAAAAGACAATTGGGTGGGAGATAATAAAACATGCTTTTCATCAATCTCTGGATTCCATGTCTGGTTGAGCCTGACTTTGAAAGAGTTTTCCTTCTGGTGTGTGTGATGATTGTAACTTGTTAGACATGGCAAGGGTTCATAACATTGATTTTCTCTGATAACCCTTATGATAGGAGGTATTAACCTCAAGTACAGATGAGTGAAGAAAGCCTTTTCAAAATCACATAGCTGGGCCTCCCTGGTGGCGCAAGGGATTAAGCACCGCACTATGAAGCAGTCTGCAGCCTCTGCAGCACGAGTTCGATCCCTGGCCGGCCAGAGAGAAACTCACATGGCGAAGCAGACCTCTCCTGTCTCACCCGCTGCTCCCCTCAGCAGTGTATTTCAGTCAGTCTGCCTGTTCTGTTCCCTACTCTGTCTCTGGTGAATCCTTTCACCCCCTGCATCTTTGGCCTGTACCCCAGTCCTTGTATACATAAACAAATAAATCTTAAAAAAAATAATCACATAGCAAATCTGAGGCCATGTTCTCATCTTTTGGCTTTCCTTGAGTTAGCAGATGGTGGTTTTGCATTTGCTACACAGAATCTGAGGGGTTGATAAGCCAGAAGTACCAAAGGAAAATTTAAATCATAAAACACAAACAAAACAAAAAAAGGATTTAGGATCAATGTTTCCACCTCTTTTCTGGTGAGTGGGTGTAGGACACATCCTCAATTACTGGCTACAGATGGCTACTGAGATCAAGCACGGGTTGTAGGCACTGTACGTACAATATTACCTATTGTGGGATTATTATGGAGTGCGATGGGGGCTTGGTTGTCTTCAGAAAGGTCAGAGCATACACACATTGGGATGCTCAGATAACTTGGGAAGATTCTCAAGGGAGGACAGGGGAATATCAAGAGGGACAGGCTGTGCCCAGCACCAGACAGGTATAGACACACAGAGTTGCATGGGATAATGATCGTTTTCTCTGAGGTCCAGCAAGTTTCCCCAGAGGCGGGAACATTAGGGAAAACTACTGCTCGGGGGCCCAAGGTCTGGGGCCAGCACTTTTATTCGGTGGAGGGCAAATTCCCCACTTGCTGTAACTGAAACTCAAGGTCTTGAACCACTTGCCGCTGCTCTAGTTGTGTCATGACCAGCGTAAAGGAGACTGCTGCTTGATCTCTTAGAGTAGGAATGCTGCTCCCAATTACATGAGGTGAGTTAGGGATGCCTTAGAGGGACACACCTATGGCCCTACCTATAAAGCTGGTTACATCTGGACCTCCCTAGATGTCAAATTAGTACGAGTTAATGTACATGATGCCCTTTTTTTCCTTAAAAGAGAAGGGAGAGGTTGGCAGGATGGTGGCAATTGGTCCCCACCCAATCTATAGTTCTTACAGTTCAGTGGGGTATAAAGAGAAACTGTGAGAGCAATTTTCATAAGGATTTTGTGCAGAATGGAGAAATGACAAAAATACAGCTCTGTTCTAGGGACTGTGGAACTTCTCCATTCTGGGATGCAGCTGAGGATAAAAGAACACCAGGACAGGTAATATTTACCTGCATGGGGTGCAGAGGTGTCAGGGCACCTGGAGGAGGTGGCAGGTATCAAACTCTCTGAATGCCTCAGGGGCAAAATTGGTCATCAGCAGAGGGAGGAGAACTTGCTGGGGGGAGACCAATAAAAGGGATCTGAGACTTCCTTAGAGACCCCAAAAAGATTTGGGAGGGAAGAGAAGGTCCAGGTGAACAAGTAGGGACAAGAGCAGGGAGCTCAGTTTATGAGTTAATATGATTTCATTTGAACCCATAGCTGACGAGGCTTAGGGACAGGCTAGTTACTTTCATTGAGTCACATATCAGCCTATAACTTAGTTCCATAAAATAATCACTTTACTTTGCTTGCACATTTCAGAGTCAGGAATTGAGAGGGAGCAACAGAGACTTCTTGCCCTGCACTGTGATATCTGGGGTCTTTAACTGGGAGAATTCAAAGACTGATGGTGACTTGACAGCTGGGGGGTTAAAATCACCTGGAAGCATCTTCACTTACACACCATCACTAAAAGACCCCAATACCCAGTCATCTGTAGAACACACAGAATTTCGATGGCAGAGTATGTCAAAAGGGGGCTATGGATTTTGTTCTTGGAAGTACCAACATAGGGGACAGCTGGTAGGGTGGAGATCAAATTCAGATTTAAAATGGCCTCAACATGCTGCATCCATGTGTCAAAAAAAAAAAAGACAGATGAACTTTCTAGTTCCTTTTTCCAGGGCTTTTCTCAACCACTTGGTAGCTACCTCCAATTCAGGCTAACATAGTCTGAACGCTTTGGAACATAGTTCTGAGATTGAGTGTGAGATTATAGTCACTTGATCAAAGTATGTTATTGCTGGAAGGGATCTTAGAGACTACCTAAATCGGTTGTTTTTAGCATTTAACAATTTTTTAACATTTAACAATTTTTAACATTTAAAAACATTTTCAACATTTAAAAAATTACCTTAATCTATTTATTTTTCCAAACAAAACAGAAGGTCCACACCCAGTGCTTAGAACACACAAACATGCAGATGATCTGACTGAAGCAGGGAGAGGGGCCCATGAGGTTTATCCACTCAACTCCCCCTTGGACACCCATGTGCAATCTTGGGCTCTTTTGATGAAGAGGACATTGGGTTCCAGAGAGATGACTTGATTTACCCAAGGTCACCCAACAGGGTTGGATGGAGATAACAATGGGCTCAGGATTCCAACTCTCAGATTAGGGTTAGTTCTGCTTTTTCAATGAATATTTTTCATTTCGACCACATATATAGTCTACTCATTGCAGAAAATCTAAAAAATGCAGACACGTACAAGGAAATAAAAATCACTCTTAATACCATGACTTTAGGAATAACCATTTTTAACATTTTCATTTGTAGCACTCCAGTCTTTTATTTTCACAGATACACACATGGTAGCCTAACATAAACATTGTTTTACAACCTGGTTCTTTCTCTTCATAATTTCATGTGAGGATTTCCCATGTGATTAATTTTTTATAGCATCATTTTAATGGCTGCACAGCATTCAATCATTAAGTGATGCTGTGCTTTATTTAATCTTCTATTATAAGATATTTTGTCTATTTTTTTGGTTCTCTTTTGCAACTGTAAATTGTGAAAAGCAGCCATGCAGATGTCAATTCATGCACATCCAGGATAATTTGATTATAACACATCTTAGAAGTAGATTTTTGCTTGAAAATATACTAGTGTTTATTAGTTTTTTGATACCTTCTGCCAAATTGGCTATCGCTCCTGCTATATAGCACCAGGGTGCCTCTTTTTGAAGACCACACTGCTTTGTGAGGTAAAGATGTTCACCCTTGGAAAGAGTGAGGCTCATTGTTTTGCATTCTCTTTACAAGACAGAACCATAGCAATATTTATTTGGAAAGAAGCTGGATGAACCATCTCAATTCCCTAAGCTAACTAATGCAATTTAACCTGAGAGTGAGAAAAAGAGGAGAAAAATAGTGATAGGAATTTCAAATGCTACTATTCCAGTATCATTTATAAAAGTAAAAAGACTTTTATACATAATTTCAGGAGTCTTTGCTTTAGTATAAGTGTAGATTTATGTGTATCTGATTGTAGTCAGAAGACTGGTGGGGTGTGCATGTCAGGGGAATCTTAATGAGGAGACTAAAGAAATACAGATGATTCAAGGACCTTGGGAGGGATGAAAGATTCCAAACACATGAATGATCATCTCCAGGCTTATATTAACTTCTAGTTGCTATGGTAGCAAATGACCACAAATTTAGGAGCTTAAACAACAGAAAGGTAATCTTACGTTTCTGGAGGCCAGAAGTCCAATATGTCAAGGCGTAGGCATGTCTGGTTCTGTCCAGAAGCTACAGGTGAAAATCCATTTTTTTTTTGCCTACATCAACGTTTTGGTGGCTGTTAGCATTCTTTGGTTTGTGGCCATATCACTCCAATTTCTGTTTCCATTGTCACATCGCCTTCTCATCTTCCACTCAAATCCTCCTCTGCTTTCCCTCATAAGGATACTTCTGGTTACATTTATGGCCTGCCCAAAAAAAATCTAGAATCATTTCCGCAGCTCAAAACCCTTAATCATTTCTGTAAAGTCCCTTTTTACCATACCTGGCGACATTCACAGGATCCTGGGGTTAGGGCCTGGATCTCTTTGGGAGTCATTATTTTGTAGGACAAGGCCCACATGCAAAGAACTCATGCCTAAATCTTAGGTCAAGAAAGCCATGATGAAGCTGCCTTGAAATAAGTTTCCTCCAAGCCTAGGTGCAGTGGACCAGCACAAGCAACAGGAACAAAAGCAGGGTACTAGCGATACTTTGGCCTCAGAGTACCTTATTAGGTGGGTTCCACTGACTGGGGGTGGGGGTGGAGATGGGAACACACAGGTCCAGCCACCACTTCCTTATACCACATCATGCAAAGGAAATGTTTCCAATTGTTCTCTCAGACAGTGTCCAGGCTTCTGTCTCAATAGCTCCCAGCAAACACCTCACATCCCATTGACTCACAGAGTGATGTGCCTCTCTATAGCCCAGAAATGGACATCTCTTCTGTCTTAATCAACTTTAATGCAGACATTGTACAGTACCAGAGAGGACTGGTTTATCCAATGAAGATGTAGACATTTTCTTTGCAAAAAAGTGGCCTGATGAGCAGCAAAGGCAGCAGCATCACCAAGAAGAAATGCAGAGTCCCAGTTCCCATCCCAGACTACTGAATCAGAACCTGTGTTTTCACAGACCCCCAAATGACTCACCTGCACATCCAAGTTTGAGAAGCACTGATTAGCCTTATGAAGAAAGTGGAACGGATGTGAGGAATGGGAACAGGTGAGTGCTACAGATTGTCCTGTGCTGGTGTTAAATTGATTCTGACAGCACGCTCCATGGAGGAGAATGCAAGATGAGTAGAGCAGTTATCATTTATCAGTTTGAATATTCTCAGTGACAAATAAGAAACCTCCAATTTAAAAGACCACAAATAATGGTGGGTGGGGGGGAAATCATCTTATATCAAAATTGCTATAAGGCAGGGTAGCTCTGGAACTTGCTACTTCTTTTTAAAACCTTTCCTTGAAGACTCCTGCTGGGTCTCTGCTGACATTTTGTTGGCCAGGACAGGCATTCATGGCCACTTATTTTTTTTTTTTAAAGATTTATTTATGTATGCATACAAGCACGGGGTTACAGTCCAGAGGTGGGTGGGAGCAGTGAGAGGACTCACCAGAGACAGAGTGGGGAACAGAACAGGCAGACTGACTGAAATACACTGCTGAGGGGAGCAGCGGGCAAGTCAGGAGAGGTCTGCTGCGCCATGTGGGTTGCTCCCTGGCCAGGGATTTAACTTGCGCTGCAGTGGCTGCGGTTAGCTTCATAGGTTGTGTCTTAACCACTTGCGCCACCAGGGAGGTCCTCATGACCACTTCTAAGTCCATCTCTACCAAGAAAAGCAATGTCTGCATCACTGTTTGGACAATTCAAGATATATTGGTGACTCGTGAGAGGAAAGAGGGCACAACTAAACCAACTAGCCCCCTCTCAGCAAGGAAGAAAGGCCAATGATACTCACAGATCAGCCAAGGCCTCTTTGGCATCTTTGTGGAACTTGCTAAGGTTGCTACTTAAGTGCGTATCCTTATGTGAATATCCTTATGTGAGTATCCTTTCGAAAGTGTGCATCATTTCTTTTTAGTCATTATTTGAAAGCTCACCTTAAAATATTTAATTTCATTTATTTATACATCTTGTTTTAAAAAAATGAAATGAGGAAACATTTTAATAAGAAAAAGAAAATAAACCAAGACTAGCAGGAAAGTCTTTTCATGTTTATACTTCTGACTGAGTGTGACCAAAGGCAAAAGAAATAAAGACGACAGTTGACAGAACCCTTCAAGAAAAGGTCTTATTTGTTTTGTTTTAAGCAGCACAGCTTCCCTCTCCAAGGCCTGCAGCTGGGGGTCAGACTGTCGGTAACCACCAGGGCCACTAGCATCTTCAGTAGATGCTGCTTAAGCCCTGGGGTGCACATTTAAATCATGACATTTGGTCTGCCTCACAATGACTTTCTTCAGCAAGGCAAGAAAATTCAGTCTGTTATACAGACAAACATACATTAGATAAAGATTCTCTTTGCAAAAAGCATCGGTCGTTGTTCAAAGCTGCCATAACTCTATATAAACTTGGGCATCTCCTCTGAAACCTGTCCATGTCTTACTTGTCTTCAGTTTATTCTGGAATAGCTGTCTCTTCATCTGATAGTCAATACTCAAATATTGCCAAAGTATTAATTTTTTAAAATTAAAATTTTTCCTAATTAAATCTCTATACATATATACAAATCTATATATATAGATTTAATTAGGAAAAATTTTAATTTTAAAAAATACTTTGGCAATATTTGAGTATTGACTATCAGATGAAGAGGCAGCTATTCCAGAATAAACTGAATATAATGTTGAAAAAGAAATAGAGCACATGGCTGGTATGAAAAAGTAAAAGCAGATACACTCGCCTGCCACGCAAGTCAGAGGGCTTTAGACACTTAGACTTGTTTTCCTTCATTAAGGCGAAATACCAAATACATTCTGTTTCCTAAGCACCAGACCCACAACTGGGGTGACTAAGAAGGCAGTTCTTTATGCCCGCTGCTGCGTCAATCCTCTGTTGACATGACTCTTCTGCTGACGTGAGTGTTCATTGGGAAAGACTGGACAATCTAGAGTCCCTGGGGGCATAGCAGTGAATGGGTCCCCTCTCTCCTGGGCTCTGTTCAACAAGGAGCTCTCCAGCCACCATCAGCCCCCTGCCTTGTGGCTTCCAGTTGGTCGTGGTAGGGGGTAGGGGTGGTTTTGCACTGGCTTGATGTCATTGCTGAATGGATGGTTCCCTCATGTTTTCTTTTGTTCCCATTTTATTAGCAACCTCTCTGTGCAGAGGCGTTGGGAAAGTGTGGATACCGGAAGTAGATCACATGACAGATTTCACAGGCTTCAGAACGATCACATTGGCACTTCACCAGTCTCCAATAGGTTTTACTCTTAAAACATGGTTGTTTTTGAACATTCCACTTGCATTTTACAACAGAAAAAGCTTTTTACCATAATTGAAGATCCATGGCTGCCAAGTTCTATACTGGGCCCTTAAAATGCAGTCACTTGTTTAATGCTCTCAGTCAGCCTTTGCCATGTGTGGTGTTATCGCCACTTAAAATATGAGTGACTAAGGCTCAGAGAGAGAGGTTGTGACTTTCTCATGGTCACTCAGCAAGCAAGTGGTGAATCCAGAGTTAAAACCCAGATGTAATTGACATTCTTAAGGCCCCACCCTTTTGCAGCCTCCTGAGGAAGGAAGAAAGAGCAGAGCCCAGAGATGCAGCGACTTGGAAACCACAGACTCACAGATTGGCCTTTGGTGGCTGTCCCAGCTGCAAAGCGGGAAACATTAGCACCCCCTGCTTTTCCAGGAGGGAGAATCTTTTTCACGTATACCTATTTTGTTTTGGTAGGTATAAATGAGATATTTACTTATCCCCATATTCCCAGGAACTAATAGCATCTGACAACACCCAAAAACCACCAAATGCAACTGAATGGATGGCAAGGGGTAGGGATGGGGAGGGACACAGCAAAAGAGCTGGTGCCACAATTTTCCTTTATTTTTTTAAATAGCCACAACATATTATTTTTAGCTTGAACCTCAAATTTTAAATTCTTACCGTGTGGCATTGGGAAAAATACTAAACATCTCTGAGCTTTAAAGATAATATTGACCACACAGGTTTGTATAAATGAAATAGGGAAGATAAAGCATTGATTGCAGTCTCTGGATGGGACAGGTTGTGCTAAATGGTGGTTATCATCACCATCATAATGGTACTTCGCTAATATCAGGAATGATCATTTCAGGTCTGTTTCAAAGAGAGCGAGGCTCTGGGATGTCTGGCTGCAGAAATCTTGACCTGTCTTCTTAAGCCAAGAACATTAGTGTTTCATGACTCTCCAGAAAGGAATTTTTAAAAAAAATATTTATTTATTTATGCATACAAGAACTGGGGTACAGGCCAGAGGTATGGAGGTGATAGGTGACTCACCAGAGACAGAGTGGGGAACAGGACAGGCAGATCTACTGAAATACACTGCTGAGAGGAGCAGCGGGCGAGTCAGGAGAAGTCTGCTGTGCCATGTGTGTGGCTCCCTGGCTGGGGATCGAATTCGTGCAGCAGTGGCTGCAGACAGCATCATAGATTGCGTCTTAACCCCTTGCACCACCAGGGAGGCCCCAGGATGGAATTTCTTGTCACCTGGTCACATTGTTCTGCAGAGAATGGGCTCAGAAGCCAAAGAACATGGGCAGAACTCCCATAGGTTTCTATTTCCCACCCCAGTTGCCTCTTTCACAGCTCCATTACTTGGAGTTTGGCTGCTCTCCCATTCCTAGCCTAGCATCGCCTGATCATTTTAAGAAAAAAACATTGGAATATTCCCTTCCAGGGAATCTGTAGCCTAACTAGTGTTTTCCCCAATGAGTATTTTAAAACTAGAGATTTGTATGCCTCATCCAGTACCATTTTACCAGAAAAGGCAGCCGCAGGGAAAATGACTTAAAAGGACATGTGAAAGATGGACTCAGCCTATCTTCCTGGTAACAGAAATATTGCTATTATTAATATCATGCACTTAGAGAGCGCTGCTTTCCCAAGGAGCTCAAAGCATTGTACATATATTATTTCTCCTTGCCACATGCAAGGAAGGTAAAAGACAGGAAGAGGCAATCTTCAGAAAAACAGTTTACTGAAATACATTTGGGCTGAACTGGAACCAGACCCCCGTCTGGTAGCAGAGAGCAAATGAATCATGTTCCTGGCAGCACCTGATTTCCTGTTACATTTTGCTGAATGCCAGGGGCGGGGAGCGCTCCCTCTGAGTAAGACCTCCTGCACCCACACCTCAGCAGAGACATGGGGCTGTGTTTCTTGCTACTCAGAAACCTTTGGGACCACAGCTGACCTGGGTCCTAGCCCCCCACACCCTGCTGCCTTCCACTCCCATGAAGTGGGGCAGCCTGTTCCTGGCATTGTGTTGCTCTTGATTCCTGACTTTCTTTATTCAAGGATGTTTGTGAAATTATGTAGATAGTTTGTGAAATTCTGTGTAATATGTCACAGGCCCTCTCCCTGTGAAGGTTCCTGGGTATTTTTTTAAAGATTTACTTATTTACGCATACAAGAACTGGGGTACAGGCCAGAGGTGCAGGGGGTAAGAGGATTCACCAGAGACAGAGTGGGGAACAGAACAGGCAGACAGACTGAAATACAATGCTGAGGGGAGCAGCGGGTGAGTCCAGAGAGGTCTGTTTCACCATGTGGGCAGCTCCCTGGTGGGGGATTGAACTCGTGCTGCAGTGGCTGTGGAAAACTTCATAGGTTGCATCTTAACCCCTTGTGCCACCAGGGAGGCCCATCTTGGGTATATTTAGGGTTGGGTTGTGGAAGATGTGCAGGGTGGAGCTCTCCTGCTGCCCCACCCACCCTGAGGTGTGGTGCACCAGTTGTCCGTGAATGGAGGCAATTTTTTCACGCTCTACATGCTCTACACGCTCAGCTTTAGTTCACATCTAGAGTGTGTCATATGTAAATTCATCCTCACTAAAATTATACTTAATTGCTATTGTAAGAGGCTATAGGTTCACATTAGATAAATGTTTTGCCACATCTGAGCTGCAGCCTCATTGTGGGAGGTGGAAATCTCAGACAAAGTTAGAGACATTAGGTGATAGTGTGAATACTCCAAGGGCTCCTGAGTACTGTGTGGTGGAGAAATCTTTAGGTGTCAGATTCCAACAGTGGGGAGTTTCAAATTCCAAACCCATATATATTCACCTGTATGTTCTGGGAAAGTTCATTCATCCTTCTAAGTTGCAATTTTCCCATCTATAAAAGAAAATCATGACATATATTGAAAGGGGCTAGTTACGAGACATAAAAGACACACACTTCCTCCTATACTTTCTCATAAAGGTGAACTCAGCATAAGACTGTGGGAAACTTTGTCTCCCTGTTTTGCTTTCAGAAATGTTGGTGTTCCCAGGCTATGGTAGCATTGGATATGCCCCTTTAGAAAATGGCCAAAAAATACTGCCATTTCATAACTATTTACTGTAAGAAAAGTGTTTTCATTTGTTTATTTAGCCAGCAAGAGAACAAATATTGGGCCAACATTGGGGCACTGGGCTAAGGACTCCAGACACGGTAATAGAAAATCCCTCCCCTCCAGGAGTGGCGGCTGCTGTGTTTGATCAGTGTCCCCCCAGTTAGTGATATCAAACCCTGCGTGGCCTGAGTAGAATTGTTGTCCAAGAAGCAAGAAAGGAAACAACAAACTCTCCTCTGAGTCGATGTAGCCCTGGGATTCAGCAATTCCAACCACACCAATTACAGCTTTTCTGTCAGGACTGACCTTTGAGGAGATTGCCTCAATTATTAAAGGTCAGCATCTCCTGGTGCTGGCACCAGCAAACTGAGCACAGCAGTGAAACAGAGTCAGATCACCCGGCAGAAGGCTCTGCCTCTGCCTCTGCCACCCAAGGCTGTCCCACACCTTTGCAACATGGTGGTTAAAAAGCTTGCACAGGCAAGGTGTAGGCTGTAGATAAGCACTTACACATGTCAATGTAAGTAAGTTGGGTGGGATTGTTTTATTAGTAGCTCAAACTACGTTTTCATAGATAATAAGTAGATACACCAAAAGAAAACAATTCCAAGGGTCGTGTACTATGCACAAGACTTAAGGTGTATAAATTGGGGCTATCTTATTCAGATTTTAGAGAACGCAATCCCCCAGGTAAGAGAGAAATGGGACAAGGACATGCTCTAGCAAGTTCCTGAGTCTCATTTTGCAGCCTTGACACCAACTCCAAGAAGAGAAATTACATTCCCTGACATTACCTATAAGGATAATGGTGACTTTTTTTTTTTTTTAAGATTTATTTATTTACACAAGAACCGGGGTATAGGCCAGAGGTGTGGGAGGGTGAGATGATTCACCAGAGACAGAGTGGGGAACAGAACAGGCAGACTGACTGAAATACACTGCTGAAGGGAGCAGCAGGTGAGGCAGGAGAGGTCTTATGCCTCACAACGTTGCTCTCAACCCACTGCGCCACCGGGAGGCCCCAGTGGTGACTCTTGAGCTAGATGTAATTCCCTGTCATGAAGCTCCATCTCTGGGGACTATGCGACTCTGTCCCCTCGCCTAAGGAATAGAAGACAGAGCAGATTGAATGTTCTCTTCAGAGGGACAAGAGTTCAGTGACAACAGGAGCTGGGTCAGCCTCCCGGTGATTCTATGGAATTAGCTTCCCGTCTATAGAGATTTTTCTGTGAACCAAGTCCAACCCTGTGTTTACAATTCCAAAGACATGTCCAGTTTTGTGTCATCAGATGGCAAAACTGGTTTATTCTCTGGTCAGGGGCACACAATCAGGTTGAGAACTAGTTTTGAGGCCATTTTCACAAAGCTTAGATGTCCTTGCCAGGGAGCAGGCTGGGTGGGAGATCTAACTCTTGTGCTCTAGACATTTGGTTTGTTTTTTAACTCTGGTTTTCAGCAGAAGATCTTTTATAAGGTACTACTATTTTTTTTTTTTTTTGTGGGACCCTCGCCCAGCGGCCGGGGATCGAACCAGCACTGCAGAGGCCTCAGGCAGCCTCGCAACCCAGCGCTCAACTGCTGCGCCACCAGGGGAGGCCCTGATAAGGTACTACTATTAACAGACTTCTTTGCTCACTTTTCTTAGAGTAATGTTGATAGCAGGACCTTTTCTGACATAGTTAATTATTTATGTTGCTCATTGGTTAGTCTTCCAATTTATAAAACTTGGACTTTACAGATCATGGAGAACAGCTTTTAACATCTGGGTCCCAAGGTCAATGAAGAGGTTGAATTCCTTATAATTAAATGCAAGTCATTTGGGACATGTACATTTTTCTGGTGAAAAGAGCTGATGATTGTATCAGATTCTTGAAGAAGTCAGTGACTGAGAACAGATTAAAAACCACCGATAAGACAAAGTATCCTTAGCTCTGATAGCTGATAAGTGACTGACAGACATCAAGGGTCAATTGTCACTACACAGAGAAGAAACAGGGAAGATCTGTCAGCAAGAAGAACTGGTTGACTCAAAAGGATGAAATTTGAACCATGGGCATGTAGTCTGGCTCAAGTGGAATTTATTTTTCGTCTTCTTTTACTTGTGTGCTGGCTTCACAATAGACTTCATCCTCCCATTCTGTGTTGAATTTATTATGAAAAAGATTTGTCCAGAGAGGGCCTCCCCTGGTGGCACAGTGGTTGAGTGCTGGGTTGCGAGGCTGCCTGCAGCCTCTGCAGTGCCAGTTCGATCCCCGCCACCGGCGACGGTCCCACAAAAAAAAAAAAAAAAAAAAAAGATTTGTCCAGAGAGACACCTTACTTCCATCACACATAAATTGTAATTTCACACACTTCTTACATCCAGCAAATCGGAAAGCCTGACAAATTTGAACTGTGTCATATACTGGCAAGATAATGCTTTTCCTTCTCTCACTTGGAAGAACACCATCCCGTTACCCAATCTTCTGTGAAGCTAGTCACACACAGCTGGAAAGCACAAAGTTAATGAGTAGAACTACCAGAACCCCAATAACTCAAAAAAAGCCCTGGAGAAAACATTCATCAAGCAAATGAGAATTGCTTAAAACCTCCCTAAGTAATAAACTCAAACAAATTAGAAAATATAACAAACAAATCAAGAATCAAATGTTTTGGAAAAGAAAGACACAGAGAACAAGAAAAAAGAAAAGGCTCCTACTAACTAAAGGGTAATTGCCAAAAAGTAAGTAAGGCAAAAAATTTGATGAAATGATTTAAGTCTAAGAAATTTCTCAGAAAATAGAGGAGAAAGGCAGAGATGGGAAGGGGGAGCATGCAAGACAAGAGATGAAAGTTCTGGGGAGTTTCTATTAGATCTGTCAGCTTCTTAGAAAGAAAGAATTAGAAAAACAAAGGGAAGTAAATTATCTATGTGAAGAGATATTTTTCAAGAGTCAAAGTATTCCAGAAAATGGGATTCTCCACTTGAGAAGGTACACTAAGTGCTGATTCCAAATGATGAAAAGAAACCTTTGTCCAGACATAGCCTTATGAAATCAGAAGACCAGGGATGAAGAGCCCCAGATCTTTCAGAAACTATTATTATTTTAATCTACAAAGAAAGAGGCTAGGACTGACTTCGATATTCCTAAAAACTACTTTGGATGCTAGAAGACAAGCAATGTGAAATGGTGTTCTACCTAGAATTTTATGTCAACTCAAGTAGGATGTTACAATAGAAATTCTTTTAGCTAACAAGGACTCAGAAAATTCCATCTCAAAACTGGTAAGAGTGAAGTAAGATTGAGAAGAGTGGAGAAGGGGTAGCTAAATACCCAGAGTTGTCAAACTTATGTCATGGCTTTGTCTGGGGGGATACTGCTCACTTCCATGGAAAGCTCACCACGCCTCCTTGCTGTTGCTTTCCCCAGACACTGGACTCTCACACTGTGGCTTGGAGTCCACAGAAACTCAATATTTGTCTGTTGCCACAATACCACCTTCCATTCCAGAGCAAATACTCCATGGCTCCTGTAACTTTGAGTCACTAGTTCCCAATTTAAAGTCCTAAGTAGGGAAATCTGATAAGTAAATCCTAGGTAACTTGTCCACAGCCTAGATGCAGAAGCTATTAGGAAAGTGGAGTGTAGGCCTTTAAATTTCCTATTGAGGAAATTTGGCTTTGACCCCCCAAAAAGATGTGTACTGTAGAAAATCCCTCAGGGTGAAAAAGAGTTTAGATCCTGAATAGAAAAACATCCAAATGTCTTCAGAAGATAATCTGGCCTACACAGTAGGAGATAACTTAAAGTTCAAAAAACATACTAAAATAAAAAGTAAATTTAAAACATCAAGAAAAGTAAATAGGGCCTCCCCTGGTGGTGCAGGTGGTTAAGCACAGCGCTATGAAGCTGTACGCAGTCTCTGCAGTGCTGGTTTGATTCCCACAGGCCAGTGAGTTACCCACATGGCATGGCAGACCTCTCCTGTCTTGCCCACTGCTCCCCTCAGAGGTGTATTTCAGTCAGTCTGCCTGTTCTGTTCCCCACTCTGTCTCTGGTGAATCCTCTTACACTCCTGCACATCTGGCCTGTGCCCCAGTTCTTGTATGCATGAATAAATAAATCTTTTTTTTTTTTAAAAAAGAAAAGTAAATAAACAAAAGAGAAGAAGCAGAATGGTCCTCCTAAGAAGCAAAGTAGAATATTGTTTGATTTTATGTCATTGATTGAGGGGAATAGCATAATTTTAACTATAATGCTAAACATGTTCTTAGATGAGGTGAGACCTGCAAAGAAAGAAATGTAATCCAAGCATGCAATTCAATACAGCAATGAACAAAATTTACAGTCATAATAAGCTAAACCAGTTCTTTTCTTTTAGATTTTTACTATCAATTTGTGAACAAAGTATGTTTATTCATAGTCATAGTACAGAAAGTTAATATAGAGAATCTTGGCAATGTCAACTTGTAGGTGACTGGGGGATAGAGGGAGGAGGAGAAAGTTGGAGAGAAAGGAGACACAAATATCTTCATCTCACCAGTAGGGTGTCCAGAACTACTTTGAAAGCCAATGGTACAAGAAATAGAATAGCATTTAAAGCTACAAAGAGGAACACGGGAAGTTTTACGATCAAATGCTGGGAACCGAGAGGAGAAGGGGGCAGCATAAGTGACCCAGATCTTCATCTTTCATTCTGAGAAGTCAATAAAAAAGTTTTTAAATTGAACAAATCAAGAATTGGAGTCACAAGCATATCCCCAGAGGTAAGGTGATAGCCTTGAACCACTCAAAACTGACAGAGTTGAGGCTGCTTTTTGGGAGTGTAGACGAGAATGAAGAGATGAAAGAGAACCCCTGCTTGCAGTCATCCTTTAAGTTATTATTATGTAGCTATATAACATTTATAAGCTTGAAGTTAAATGTAAATTAAAATTATTTTTCTTTTTAGCTTTTTCTTTTTATTGTATCTATATAAGATGATGGATGCTAACTAAAATTATTATGGTAATCATTTCACAATATGTAAGTCAAACCATTTTGCTGTGTATTACTGTGATAAATACCAACTGCATCTCACTAAAACTGGGGGGGGTGGAATTTTAATGAAATAAAATTACAAAAAAAGAAAACTAACCAATACAGCATCTATTTACTTATTTCTTACGTTTAATGGGTAGAATTAAAAACAGACTTGTGATATTAAACACAGAAAAGAAACCCAGATTATTTAAAAATGATTTGCTGTATTTTCCCATCTTTATTTTTGTCATGCACTACAGAGAAATAATTTATTTTAATTTTACTGATAATTATTCCAAGAAATATGTTTAAGAAGCAGTTTAAATATGTAATATATATGAGCCCAAAGTATAAATTAAGACATAAGTTTCCAAATTCCTTTTGGCAAATGCAGATTTGCATAGAATTTCTTTTCTTTTCTTTTTTTTGGTGTTGCTACCATATGAATTTCAATTCTAAAAGACATCAGCAAAGATCTGCAACTAAAAACTGTATTTTCAAACTAAGCACCTTCCTTTGACAGAAGTTGTTGAGTTCTGCAATTAATTCTTGTCTGTAGATCAATGGATCGCATAAATGGTAGATCAGCCTTGACGAGATGGAACAAATATAATCATTAGCGAAATCCTAGCTACACAGAACAGTCAACTGTGAATTTAGGTCAGTTTGTCTGCTCTGAAACACTTTTCCTGTGTATTATTTCATTCTTGACTAGTCCTTATTATGTGTTTGACATGTTTTGCAATTGTTCATAGGCAATTTGGAATTTTCACTTATAGAACAATTTACTTGGATGTGAATGTGCAGAACATTGTTAATTTGGGTTTTGTTATGTTTTTTAATCAACAAGAGTGTTTTAAGACAGTGTAGGAAATACAACGCCATAAGTATTCATGATTTGGGAATAATACCTGTGGTTAAAATAACCAGTAGATGTCAGGGGGCGTGTAGGGAGGAAAGTAGGTCTGTTAAAAGTATGGGATTAAAGCAGTGTTCTGTCTCCAGAAGACAAGACAATCTGGACTTGAGGTTAGTATCACCCTAAAGAATTTGAGGAAGGGCAAAATCAAAGAGGAACAAAAGTGGTATGGTTGCTTTACAACAGGAACTTACAATTTGGCAGGCAATGGAATGGGCCCACAAATGGGACTTCCTTAGGCATACAAGGGGGTACCTACCTTTTTAATCATCAAGGGACTTCTGAGGATACCAACTGGGTTCATGCACCATTGCTTCTTCCCATGGATCTTTGTGGCTGGATGTGATAAATTTTCAGGTGAAATTAGTATAACAGATTTTTAATTCTCTGGCAACTACATTAAAAAGATTTTAAAAATTCATGAAGGTAATTGTAATAAAATGTAATAAAATATTTTTTATTTTTCTACTACATCCTTTTCAATATGCAAAATTAAAGAGATACTTTACATTATTTTCTATCCAAATCTACTGTCCTTTACACATACAGCACATATTTATTCAGTTCAGCTATATTTCAAGTACTTAATTAATCACTTATGGGTAATGGCCAGCATATAGGATAAAGCAGTCTGGTTCTCAAAGGCTTATTGTTGCTCACCATGAATTTGCCCTAATTTTCTCAGACTGGGGCATTATCATTCAGGTAGGACGTGGCTTTTGAGTGGCCCTCTCATGGACACTGTCATGCCATTAAAAGCTGAAGGTGGTAGGCGTAGCTCCAGTAAACAGAAATCGAACTGAGTTTCAAGGAGTCATATTGTACTTGGAACTTTCAACAATGAGAACTTTCAGGAAACAAATGACATGCCCTGTCTTGTATTTCTTGTCACTGGGGGAGCCAAGCAGCAGTTAATGCCCACTTGGGCTAGAATTCAGTGATTCACTGAAGGCTTCTATCAGATGATCGCTCAAGTTCCTTTAAATCATGAGATTCTGTAATTGAATTAAACTTGAAGCATTCTTCCAACAAAACTTAGTTTTATTTTTTTGACCTTCATTTAGAAAGCATTAGAAAACGCTTTGACAGCATTTTATTTTCAGAGAAAACAAGGTCACTTCTATAGTTACACAAAGAATCTGAGAATTTTGGTGACCATTGAAAGAGTTTTAGAGAAAAAAATGAAGTTTTTGGAGAGGTAAAGGAGAAATACTCTCTTTAACCCCTTGCTTCTGGTGTTCGTTTTACTAGTGTCAACTAGGCCTAAATGAATATTTACTCTCCATGGTAGGCCGGATGGTAGTTCACTTTATAAATGAAATTCTAACTATAATCAAATATAAAATTAAATAATATTTGCAGAGATAGATTTTCTATAGTATGGAACTCAGTAGGTTTTCTAGAATATTGGATTGATAAATACATATAGGATAGAACTCAGAGAATTGTTGTTTATTATAGTCACTTTTTTTCCCCCAAAAAAATGTTATATCAGTGTATATGCTTCCTGCTTGTTGCCAGGAAGACCTTGATGTGCTCTAGGTCTGACTGGTGCCAGGCACTCACCTGCCTCCAGCCAGGAAGAGAAACTCATCCCAGTCAGACTGTGGGATTCTTCTTGCTTTCAACCTGGAAGACAAAAAAAAAAAAAAAAGGAGCATTTTTGAAAGTGGAAAACCATAAAGAAATGAAGTAGATAACATGGAGAAGAGTGAGATTATATTGTCTTTTGCAATAGCACTCATTTTTATTTGTCTTTTAATGGCTAAATGTAAGTTTTCCTAGAAATCTGCAAATTTTCTTTAACTAGTATTTTTGCTTATTTTCAATATGCAGGTGCTTTCAATGTTTGTGGATAGTCTGTTTTTTAACTTTTTTACTCAAGTTTATTCTCCATGGGCCCTACACCCAATTCAAGTCCTGCTTCTCATGCAATGTGCTTGCACTGCCCTTCTAAATGAGTGTATGACTTCATGTGCACATGTACACAAACATACAACCCATACACACATTCATACACACACCCCCACACACACAGACACATCCACCCACACACTCATACACAGACACACCTGTACTCACACATGCCTGTACACACACAGAGCAACACCGGTGTCCACTCTATTAAAGGAGCAGTTTGCTCTCTGTGATGCCATGGGAGGTAGCCAGAGTGCCTCCTGCTACTCTTCATCTTCCTAAGCACTCTCTCACATATTGGTTACCAGATCCTTCTAAGACCTATTTTATAGCCTTTAGTTCTATCTTCAAAGAGTAGCTTAGGCCATGGAAGAATCTCCAGAGTGTTGAATGGTACTCTTGTCCTACTTAGAAAGCAATTCCTCAGGTAAAAATGGAGAGTTCTTTCCTTTTGTTCACTCATTGCTGAATTCACTAGCTTAGTCATCCATTCATCTAATAGACATTATTTCTAAACACCCACACTATGCCAGCTCTTGGATGAGGAAAGTAAAATCCTGTGCCCTTAGTGAATTCACAATAAGTAGGGATCATATTTGTCAAGGCACTAACTTTATTACAATGTGACAAATCAGGCAGGGGACAAGCATGCAAGGCATCCTGCTGCGGGCATGCGGGTGGGCGTGACAAGCTCTGCCCACCTCCCACAAGAGATGGCATGGAGCCAGGCTGCAGGAATGCTGCACATTTCTGGCACTTGGCAGAGGACAGGGGCTGCTTCCCAGGTGGAGCAAACAAAGCAGGAGTGTACAGGGCATATGGGGAGCGACAGGTGGTATGGGGTGACTGGTGGTTGGACTCAAGGTTCTAAGAGCCAAGAGTGGGCAGGTTATGAAGAACATGGGCCTGCATCTGGCCTGGGACCTTCATAGTTCTCCTTTGACTTTCAGAATGTTTTTAATTCTAGGTTTAAACATGGAGGCTGGAGGGTTTTCTAGAACGTTCAATTGATAAACACAAGAAGAATGAAGGTATAATTTTGGTGGTGATAGCAGTGGTGGCAGCTTCTTGCCTTTCCTGTACCACCTCCTCTCCCTATAACATAGTGAGAATGCATGTTTTTGTAATAATTTTGCAAACAATAGTACATAGAATGCCTGGCTATGGGGAAATTTGGGTGCCACTCAGTACTAGCTTTCTACTCAAAAACAAGATGCCCTTATCTCATGGACATAAAATGTTAATGAGCAGGGCCTCTGTGCCCACTGGGAACCTCCCATGGGTTGGCTCTGCTGTGGAGAGCTCTGGAGATTACTGAGTAGAATGTCAGAATTCAAGTGACCTCAAAGCCCTATTGTGATCAAATGGCCCTTTGCATGAATGGGGATGTTCACGCTCGCTCAGGCCTGTGGCCACAGAAAAAGGAGCTAACCCAACATAACTAGATGAGCAATGTAATCTTAGTTAAGCAACATGGTCCCAGGATTGTTTTCCCCCAAATTTAAGCAATAGATCCCATGGGAAAGTAGAAAAATTGAACATAAAATTGTTGTCTTGCTTGAGTTGTGATATCTGAAAAGCCACCACAATAGAAATGGCTGATGAGTCATGTTGACATGACTGGGGACATGTACTCACATCTTATGAACCAAGATCAATTCATATATATCATATGTCGCTTAATGTGTGTGTGTGTGAGTGTGTGTGAGTGTGTGTGTGTGTGTGTGTGTGTGTGTGTAGTCTACTAATCAGATTGACCACAGCTGCTCGGATCCCAATAAAAAGGAGGGATTGGGGTCAAAATAAGGGGGTTGCAATTGTATGGGGAATATAAAAATAAAATTAAAAAATAATAATAAATACATCTTTAAAAAATTAAAAAAATAATTAATTAAAAAAAAGAATATCAAGGCCTGACTTTTGATAAAGGACTTCCTTGTACATAAGGTTAATTCTAAACCTTTGCTGCTGACCTAAGCACCCCACTTCTCCAGTCTTAAAATGAACAGAGTTATAGGCATCCAGACTTGCAAACTCACAACCATAAATATTTTTCTGAGCTCACAGAAGTCCACCCCAGAAACACCTTCATGCATTTCAGAAAGGGATGTGAGAGATCAATGAATTGAATTTTGTAAACATAAGCTTCTTACACTTAAACTGGTTTCTCAAAAATCTGCAAAATCTGTCTCAGCTTTTCTTATCTATGATCTACCATCACATCTCTCAGGATTGATCCCTACCCTGACCACTACCACTCATCCACGAAGTTTGTTACTTTCAATTTGCTCAATTTCTTCTCCCCTTCTTAGAAAGCCAAACTCTTTTTCTCTTACCTAAATCCTTACCCTTCTAGCTGTTGCAGCTCTGGCTTATTTTTCATATTATCTATAATTCTTTCTCCAATAATCTCTAAGAAAACACAAATAACCCCACTTCCTTCATATTCCTTTCAGTGATTATGTATTGGGTGTCCAATTTATGTTAGTATTACGTGCTGTGAAGAATATAAATGTAGATTAAGGTTCTTGTCCTAGAGCTTACAATTTAAAGAAGAAGTTAGTGAAATTGACAAGTATATCAATAAGGCATGGTGAAATAAATGCCAAATGAAGGTTGAAACTCTGTGCTTTGAGAACCCAAAGGAAAGCAAGATGACATGACTAAAGTGATGAGACCAAAGAGGTTGTGCTGGAATTGTGCCTTGATGAAGGATCTTTGATTTCTGATTGCTTTCAGCATTTGTTGTATCTTGCATTGCAACATTTAATTAAACTCAATGTGACAGTTTTTTGAAAACACACGATTTGTTTCATGACCAATTTTGTCAACCATAGGTGGATCTGATCTCCCTGGCAGGGTGGATTCCTTTCATGCAAAGCCTGTCATCTTTTACTCCTGTATTTCCAGACACCCAGCATGTGCTTAATTAACCCAGGCTTTGTCTTAGGCACATAGTCATCATCATGATGGGTGTCAATAGATATGGTTACTTCACACGATCTGCAGTTGGAGGACCTAAGACCTCCTTTAAAACAGAGTATGTTGTTTAGAGTCCTACTAGGCAATGTGATGCATTTCAAAATACTACTGTCCTCTTTAAAACTGTGGCACCACTAGAGTCTAAAAATACCCCCAAAGGACTCTCTGTAGCAGCCTCTTTAGAAACATTGAGATCTTAGAAACTAAATATAGAACCAAGTAACTTGATGTTGGTGGTCGCATAGCAGCTTCTTCCAGAACACCATTAGCCCTGCCATCCGGTCAAAGTATAATCAAAAGGGAACAAGTGGACAAAACCCACGTGGACAATATGGGCAGTTCCAGCTGCCTCCCTTCCACTCCAGACAGAAGTGATACAATACCACAGAAGCATTTTTCTTTTTCCCATGAACTTGTTATTAGGTCAATGATTGTTCTGTTACGCCGTAAGCTGTTCATGGCCTCAGGAAATTCTGTCTTCTTGACAGAGGATTTTTCCTAGGGTTGGTTATAGCCAGTCTCCTCACTTGATGGAATTGTTGGAAAAGACGAATGAATCATTCATGGGCAATCCAAACAAGAGGCAGTCAGTACTGCAGTTACCTCACATTAGGGTGTCAGGACCACATTAGTCTTCAGCTAGATGCAGTATTCTTCTCAGGCGTGTCCTTAGCTGTATCACCCCTATCCACCTTCAGAAGTCAGCAAAGCTAGATCTGGACTTATCAGACTTAAGCATATGATAATTCATTCCCCTTCTCTCCCTTTGCACAATGGAACAAAATTGAGAATTGGCCACTTCAAAGTCTCTTCAACTCACTGCTTTCAAGATTTCAGCTATCATTGTCATGCAGCAATGCCTTCTGGATCAGGAAAACCTCACAGTCTAAGGACTTGATTTTCTGGACTGTTAGCTTGTATTCAAAGATGTTCCTTTCCCAAGCATGGCACTAAGCAATTTCAGGAAACGCTGATACAACTGTAGCAATTTTCCCCAATTTGTGCCTGACAAAGAACTCTCTTCAAAATTGAGTTGGCTTCTTTTCTTTTGTTCGAAAATGCTGGTAAACACAATTAGCCTCATTAACCTCAGTTTCTGTTTCATAACTGAAAATTAGCCTACAATCACTGGTTTGCTGGAAAGCAGAGATGTAATTAGTCTTTAACTGGCTGATATGAAAAATCTGCCTCTTCTTTAATTTCTCTGACATCTCAATGCATATGAAAACATGTCTGAACTCTCCCATGTTGGCATTGGGGACAGGAGTAAAAATAAATCAGGGATTTAAACCAAAGATCTCAAGCTGAGACATGAAAGCCGATATGGAAACTGGAGTTGAGGAGGCATTTGTCAAAGAGGCAATGATGAGAAGGTAGATACTATGTCTGTTCCCCAAAGCCTTCTAACTTGTCCAGGGAAGATTACTTGCATTACTGATAAATCTGTCACACATAGGAAAAATCAAATGACTATTTGCAAAAAAGATTGGGGGGGGGGTGGAAAAGTAGTTACACCCTTGGCACAGGTGAAAAATCCATCTCAGTCCTGGAAATCCCTATTGTTGACTTAACAATAGCTTCTTTGTGGGTAAGAAAAGAAAGTCACAATTCATGAGGTCCGGGCACTTGTTTTTTTGTTTTGTTTTGTTTTGTTTTGTTTTGTTTTGTTTTGTTTTGTTTTTTTTTCAGGATAGAACGTGAAGCCTGGAACTTCCAGGCCTTGTGATCAG